GGGACTATGACATTACCCAGTTGGTACCTTTAGGACGAGGTTTCAGTGAGACATGACACGGGCAGGACAAAAAGCACCAATGACGAACTACACTGTTTGGCACACTTGGGAGGAAGGAGCATATCCTCCAGGGAGCTCTGGCTCATACTAGGCACTGTGCCAGGAGCTCGGCAGCCCACCTCACCCTCCTCGCTGGGTGTGGCACACGGGGCCTTCAGACCTGGAACCAGCGCCCGCCCCTCCCCGCAGGGAGCCCCTGCTGTCCTGGGCACAAGCCTGAAAGAGGGGACATTTCAGGCTGTCTTTATGTGCCCACTCCTGGATACCTGGGGCCCTGCAAATCCACAGAGATATTTCTTTTTCTTTTCTGTTGTGGCAGTGAATCCATTTTTAACTAGATAAGCTAGGTTACCAAAAAGAGAAGGGACAAGGGGAAGAAACCATCCTCACTTGCCTATTATGTCACCAAGTAGGCAAATCTTCATTTTTCCAACAAAGAGCCGCTCTCTTTCTATAACTTCCCATAATCCAGGAAGGACACATTGCTGTATGTGACTGCCACACCACGGATGGTCACCGCTCTCCTTAAAGTGAACACCCCTTCCCCATCCCTCAGATGCCTGGGAAAGACTGAGTGGTGCCCGAGTACCATGTATCCCTGGGTGCCACTTGGTTTCCAGTTTTGCTCCTAAATGTGCCCGGCTTCAAAAACCCACCGGCTTGGGGCACCTGGGTGGCTCAGTCATTAAGCATCTGCCTTCGGCTCAGGTCATGATCCCAGGGTCCTGGGATGGAGCCCCGCATCAGGTTCCCTGCTCCGTGGGAAGCCTGCTTCTCCCTCTCCCACTCCCCCTGCTTGTGTTCCCTCTCTCGCTGTGTCTCTCTCTGTCAAATAAATAAATAAAATCTTAAAAAAAAAAACAAAAAAACGCCTGCCTGAAAACCAGTGCCTTCCCTCCTGGAGCGTGTCTTTGAAATACATTCCCTAAATAGGGATACGAGGTCAACATGATGCTTTGATAACTCCTGACAAGTAGTTTTTCTTTTTCCAAAAGACCCATTTATGCTGCCACCTGTGATGGAGGCACGTGCCAGGCTGCCTACAAAGTCTTAGGATAAACGCCCCAACCCGTCATTCTAATGTCTGGTAACGTGCAGGGAGCGGGAGGCCACAGTCACACTTGGAGCCTCAGGGAAGGTGGACTTTTCCCCCGAGGGGTCGCTGATGCTCTACCTTCCTCCCCTGAGATCTGTCTGTTCACAAGCGCTCACAGCTTTTTACAGAGGGGTTCTGCATACACAGTGATCTCGTTCATACAGGCCAGCCTGAGGAGTGGAGGGGGCGAATGGGCCAGTGGGGAGGAGGGGTCAGCCTCGAGCCTCCAGAAGAGAAGACGAAACGGGAATAACCAATGGGAATGCTTGCATGAAAAGCTGCAGTTAAGAAATCCTACGTGCATCGAGAAGGCGTCTCTACGGGATGTAGGCATGCACTGCTCGAACAAGAGAGCTGGAAACAAGGAACAAGAGTTGCAGCTGGTGGACTATGGCTCTGGATTTGGGCATTTTTGAGTTGTTTTTTTTTGTTTGTTTGTTTTTTTAACCCTCTCTGGTGCTCCTGCTCACCCCTGGGAAAGTCTCCAGCCCCCAGGGCTTTCTGCAGGCTGGGGCCTCCACAGAGCATGCCTCTGTCCCCCGGGGCTCATTCCCAGCACGCTTCCTTCCAGATCCGCTGAAAGCTCACATCACCTGGTAAGCACAGCTTCCAAAGCAGGCTCGCTGCCTGGCTCATCCCGCCCGGACATCCTGAGCTTCTCGGACTCCAGAGTGGATCACAGCAGGGCCTGGAGCTGGACTGCTCTGACAGCGCTCTTTGGATTCGAATGCAATGCTTTGGGGACCGGACGTGCACCTGGCCCGCGCTAGCTGTGGACGGCAAGTCCGGCCTGGGAGGCGGGGCGGTGTGTGGACTGGCCCATGGAAGGGAGGGAGGGGTCCTCAATGACTCCACTCTGGGTTTCCCCTTCCACTCCCGAGCCCCATGCCGGCGAGGCAGCCAGTGTTTGGACCACTTATTTCTCAAATGCCTGTTACCGCCTAGACGCCGGGGTGAGGGATTGCAACACCAAGGCCATTCCTCGACCGTAGAGGCGAGTTAGGGAGTCAAGACGCCAACACAAGGAATGTTAGATACCAGGGAGGAATGAAGGCAAAGATAACAAAGACAGACAATCAAAGATTGATCGCATGTGGGCACTGGGTGGTCTGGGGTCAGGGGGCAGGTCCCTGCGGGCTGCGAAGGAAGTGATCAGGATGACCGCAGCACGGGCGAGTGAGGGGGGCAGGAGGAGGAGGCCTGTGATCCAGGCCAGGAGCGGGGAAGGTGGGTGGCACACTCAGGGGCCAGGGAGGAGCTCCTGGAGCCTAGAACAGAAAGAAAACATCTGGAAATCCTGGGAGGGTGAGTTACGGCCCGAATGTTGAGGTCCCAGAGAGCCAGGTAGAGGAGTCTGTGCTGGAAAGAGAACGCAGAGCTGTCTAAAGCAGTGCAGCCAACGGGAGAAGCTTGTGAGGAGATCAGTGTGGGGGCAGCTCTCAGGATGGCCTGCAGGAAGAACCTGGTTAGCAGGGAGGCATGCAGCATCAGGGCATCCGTGTCCCACGTGCCAGCATGGCAGGCCCTCCCGATCGATCCAGGCTGTGATTCCAATCTTTGCCTTGCAGGCTGTATCGATCAGGAGCAACAATGCTACTATGAGGCACTAAGACGTAGCCTCAAAGTTCAGTGGCTTAAAACAGCAAAAGTTAATTGCTCATTCAGGCTCTGTGTCTAATATGGGTCAAGCAGAGATTGCCCAGAGGCCTAGATCCAAAGCAAACCAGGCCTGTGCAGGGCACTGCAGGGCACTGGGGCGGAAGAGAGGGGGACCTCTGGAGGGATTCTCACCAGCATTTCCACAGGACGGCCAGAAATTGCACATCATCTCTGCTCACTCCTTGTCGGCCAGAACTAGCAACCCTAATCTGCAGGAGACAGAGAGTCTGGAAGAAGGAATGGTCCACGTATGTCACTTTTCAGGGCACGTGTAATTTCTCTCACTCATTCAACCAGCAAGAACTGAAAATACATTTACTGAGTGCCAAACATCTTAAAATATTACCACTTCTTTTGGCCCTTTTATCAATCCTGTGAGGTGGCAGGTATCCTCATGCCCATTTTACCAATCAGCAATTCAAGCCTCAAAGGGGTGGAGGTGCCCAGCCAGGAAGGGGTGGGCCTGACCCCACAGCCCATGCTCTCCCTGAGCGCCACAATGACCAGAAAGGAAGGTGGCCATGCCGGGGGCCTGAAGGCACAGCAGTTAAGCATGAGGGTTCTAGCGGCCAACTGCCCTGGGGGTGCATTCTGGCTCCACATTCCTGAGCCATGTGATCATGAGCAAGTTACTCACCTTCCTACGCCTCAAGTTCCTCACCCAGACACCACCAGGATACTAACAGCACCCCCAACCTCATTGTGGTGCTGCCACAACTGAGGAAGAAAATGCATGGAAAGCCCTTGCAGTGCTCCTGGCATAGAATCAGGGCCAGGAAATGCCAACAATGATGTTAACACAGCCCATCTACGCACAAGGGTGTTGGAACTCCCACGAGCCACAGGCCCCTCAACCCACAGACCACCTACTTCTCAATACGGCACTGGCCTCCTAGGTCAGGGGGGGCTGCCGAGACGGTGGACGCACAGGGGGAAGACCACACAGAGTCAGGGCCACCCCACCACAGGGCCTGGCCTGCACCCATCTGCTCGCCTTCCCCTTATCTCGTTTGGCTTCCTCCCCTGCGCTTGGAACTCTCTGAAAGGCCCTAACTGTGTATGGATCGGTCATCCTGCGTATTGCCTGTCTTCCTGACCGGAACCTCTGCTTCGGGTTTGCCTTGGTCGGAGGGTCAGGCTCACGGAAGGGCGCCCGACAGATAAGGAATCGGGGAGCAGAGACTTGGAAGTTCCGTTGAGGGCAGGGGCTCTGTCAGCTTTATTCGCTTCTGCCTGCCCCGCACAACGCCCAGCACCTGGCGCGTCACGTGTGCTGAGAGGCCTGCCAGCTCTCCAAGCATCAGGGTCCAGCGGGGGACTCAGCCCTTCTTTCTCTGCAGGGCATTATGCTAAAGTCTGGCCTCGTCATGTGGGAGGCCGGTCAGTTAGCGGTTTCCATACAGACTCCCCCGCGGCCAGCCCCCCTGCCCCCACTCAGGGCTCCAGGCTGGGCCTCGGGGTGGCCTGAGGACACAGGTACCAAAGCCAGAGTGAAAGAGAGACGTGGGGAGAGATTGCGGGGGGCGAGTTCCTGCGCCCCTGAACCCTCGCTCACATGCACAAAGCTATACATGCCCGGCTCACGGGGCTGGAGCTTCTTCAAGGCTTTTGTGGGCCCCGCAGACAGCTGTCAGATATGTTTACCCTACCTGGCTCCTCCATAAAAAATAATTCCCACCTAACTGAAAAAGTGGAGCTGCATTTGAGGAGTCCATATGAAGCTGTATGAATATGTATCACAATTTCCATTTTGCAGCGCTGTCTTCATATTTTGAAACTAATACATAGTGTCTTTCTGGTCAAACGGACCTAAGATGTCCGGTGAAAATGCCATTTCCCAGGCCCCACCCCAGAGCCACTGAATTAGAAAAGCCCAGGGATCTGCATTTTACTGAGTTTCCCAGGTGGTCATTTGCAAACGGAAGTTTGAAACCACTGCCAGAAAAAGAAGCCGAGAAAAGGGGCTGGGGCTGGCATTCTGGAGCCAGAGGGGGGTTGTAGAGGTGACCAAGGAAGGGGAGGGGACGCAAATGACAGCACGTGGCTCCTGTTTTGCATGAATGCAAATCGCTTTTGCCCATGTGTGCCCTGCGTGTTCCACCACCGTAAACATAAATTTGCAAAACCCTGACTCACCCTCTGCTGAACCCTCCCCCCGGCCCTGGAAAAATGATTGACACTCCACCTGGGATTACGTTCTGTAGGCTGATCTGCAGAAGAGAAGGTTTCCAACGTGTTGGGCAGGCTCTTTGCAGACTGAGGCCACCACTGCCAGGAATCGTGCTGCAGGAAGGAACATAAATAGCATGGTCACCCAGAGGTTTGCTGCAGCTAGTTCTACCTTTGGTTTGTGACAAATCCTAGCCCCCGTAGTGAGCTGTCCTAATTCACCCACAGGGAAGGAGGTTCTGTTTAATGTCGCACTACACACACAGAGCCCGCCCGCAAGCGCACACACGCGCACACACGTGCGCACACCCCCCACGCATGGTGTGCAGGTGTATATATGAGCTTCTGCAATGATTTGAGGGCTGGAGCTCGGCAATCAAGAGTCACTTGGACCCCTCGAGGGCTAGATTCCAAGGTACCAGGAAGTTACCACTGCTAAAAGGGGGTTGGAAGAGTAGTGAGCTGATGCAAAGGGCCAAGTACTGTGCTGGGGGTTTCCCATGTATGTTTCACACCGCTCGATCGATGGGGGAGAGTATTATCAGTTCCGTTCTTCTGATGACGAAACCAAGACACAGATTTGCCCACAATCCTAGTAAGATCGAACTCTGAACTGGCTGACACTAAAGTTCGTGTTCGAAACTTACGCAGTGCTGCCTTCAAGTTCAGACCCAGGAAGCATGGGGGTGGGGAGGGAAGAGTCTTTTCCAGAGAGGCGAGCCTAAGGAAACTGACCTCTCCAACCAGTGAGAGAACCAAAATAACTCCTTAACAAACAGTTGAATTCACAAGCAATAAACGGTCATTGGAAAAAATAAATCACAGATAAGCAATAGAAAAAAATCACATTATAATCACATCCTCCAAGAAATAATGGCGTTTATATGTCTAGGCTTTTATTCTATATGTGTATGTACATATACATACACATATATATATCTAGCCTACAAATAAAATGATACAATTTTTGCAACTTTATTAAAAATTTCACTCTGCTGATTTTTAACGTGGGGAATTAACCATGTCTGTCCAATCCTGATCTTCTGGGCGCTTATGTCCATCCATAAATTTCTCTGAAGAGTTTAAGGGGGAGATAAAACGTTTCACTTCTTTTTTGTGTGCTTCCTGTTATTGTCTGTTCATCAGCCACTAGTGCATTTAAGGAAGGGTTCAAGAGTATTCTATCTAAACAGATCTGTGCTCTGGTGGATGATGCGGCTTTGAAAAACATACTCCACCGCACCCCCCCAAAATTCAGGTTGGTTTTCTCCTCTCCATAGATGAAAATGGAGAATAGGTTTTGCAACAACCGGAAAAATGATGCCCTCCCCCACCCAAAAAATATCTTAATGCCAAGGGAAATGCAGCGCTACTATTCAGAGGGGCCTGGCACAGTCCCTCCCATTGCCCGTCCCCCACTGCAGGGACCAGGCCTCCAAGCGCCCCCCAGGACTCCCTTCCAGTCTTCCTCTAGTTAGGTGAGTGAAAAATAACCTCCTTTCCTCCCTTTCGGTGTTAACGAGGCTCCCTATAGAGACACTGTTAATCACATCAATTAAAAGCCTCTCACCCTTGGCCTTGCCTGCCAGGTACGGGTCCTCTGTCCAGGGGAAGGTGGGTGAGATAAGTCGTGCCTGGAGATAACTTATATTCTTTTCTTTTTCCCCCTCCACCTATGCTTTTTTTCATTTGTATGTTGTTTTTTATTTTTTTAAGATTCAGGCTTAATTAATACAGTGAAATGTCCAGATCTTTAATGAACAGTTTGATGAGCTTTGACAAATGCATATACCAAAAACACTAAACCACCAAGACACAAAACATTTCCCCCACCCAGAAATTTCCCTGTGCCTTTTCCAATCGTCTCTGCCCTCCTCCAAGAGGAAACCACTGTACTGATTTCTAGCACCATTCATTAATTTTGTGTGTTCCAAAAGTTCATATAAATGGAATCTTGTGATGCGTAAAGACGGGCAAGAATGATGAGCAAGAACACGCGGTTCCTAGTGGGCATGAAAACCAGTGTAGGTGCTTTGGAAAATAGTCTGGCAGTCCCTCAAAAGGTTGCAGAGAGAGTTACCACGTGACCCAGCCATTCCACTCCTAGGTATATATACTCCAGGAAATGCAAACACACATCCACTCAAAACCTTGTACAGGAATCTTCAGAGAAGCATTCATTATTCATAATAACTCCAAACTGGAAACAACCCAATGTCCATCCACCGATGAAAGAACAAATGAAATGTGCTCCATCCACACAATGGAACATTACTAAGGCACAGAAAGGAATGAAGTACAGAAGCATGCTACAAAGTGGATGAACCTTGAAAATGTCATGCTAAGTGAAAGAAGCCAGTCGTAGATGACCACATATTGTATGATTCCACTTGTGTGAAACGTCAGAATAGGCCAATCCACTGTAACAGAAATTCTAGCTTGCTCAGGACTGGAGGGGGAGGGAAAAGGGGGAGAGGAAGGTGAAGCTGATGGGGACAGATTTGCTTTCTGAGGTGGTCAAAATGCTCTAAGATTGGTAAGTTGTATGATATGTGAATTGTATCTCAGCAAAGCTGTTTCAGAAACCAAACATTCAGAATCAACCCAAGTGGAACCAGTTAGGATACATGAGAAAGACAGCAGTTTTCCTCCAGCGGGATTTTGACAGAAGTGTTTGGCACTGTAGCCCAGGGACCCCATGCCACCTGGGGAGCATCACCACTATGGTCCAGGAAGGTCTCCTTCCTGTGAGAATGTCCTGGCACTTACCGCATTTCGCAGGAGTTCCTGTCCTATCTCCAGAGCCTAAATTCTGAAGAGTCCAGGAGCTATTCACCAGATTGATTCACTCATTCCACCAACATTTACTAAGTCTGTATTTAGTAGAAAGCACATAACCATATCTAGTCTTGTTGTATTATCTCCCTGCTCTCAAGGGACTACATTTTTAGGGACATCTTGAATGCCTCTGTATGTCTGGTCGTGTGTTTAGCAGGTGACACCAGAAGATGGTGGTGGGTGGGGAAGGTATGAGCTCATTAGGAGAGAAAGGTCAAGAACTGTGAGGTCCAGTGGGGCTGGTTCTCAATCCCGACTCTACCACTCACCAAGGCATGCCTTCACCTCTTCCTGCCTCATGTCCCTCACCTGCCAAAGACCAAGAACCTGCCCTATGGTGGAACCATGAGGAGCCCCAGCTCCAGGAACCAAACCCCTGCCCTACCACCTACAAGCTGTGAATGACTTCAGGCACTTTCTTAACCTCACTTGCCCATGTGTACAGTGAGGACAGAGGCAGTAACAGCCTGCCCTATGCAGGATCAGATGGGTTCATAAGAGGCTCGGCAAACTGAGGGGCCAGACGGTGACTATTTTAGGGCACTGCGGGCCCATACCATCTCTGCACCAGCTCCTCATCTTCACGATCAGAACGTCAAAGCCACCACAGACAATACCTAAAAGAAAGGGCATGTTGTGTTCCAAAAAAACTTTATTTAAGCAAAATGAAGTCCGATTTCATACAGTTTTCATGTTTCAGAAAATATGATCCCTCTTTTGATTATTTTTGTCAGCCGTTTAGAAATGGAAAAGCCATTTGTAGCTCATGGGCTGTACAAAAAAAGATGGCAGGCCAGATCTGGCCCCTGTGCTGCAGTTTGCCACCCCCCGACGTAAAGCACCTAGAACAGAGCCTGGCACACAGTAAGCACACACCACCCCTGAACCACGGCCCCAGGCAACAAGAGCTGAGCCTCTGCCATGTGTTACACTGCGTGCTGCACCCTCCATGCACCGCATCTCACGTAAACTTCACCCTGATTGCGTGAGGCAGGTAACGTGATCATGCAGATGAGAAAGCAAAGACCTAGGTCAGCTAGAGGGACAGCGCTGTCGTAAATCCAGGTCTTTCCATCGTGAGCTCTTGCTTGTGACCGTTAAAAACTACTGTGCTCGCTGCCAGGACACAACAGGGAACCAGACCCACTCAGGCTCCGCTCCAAACACCACAAATCATGATTTAATTAATTTGAGACATTTGTTACAGAAAGCAGGGGCTGCAAGGAGGAACAAGGGTATTACACAGCCCACGGCGAGGGAGGTCCTCCGGTGAAGGGACACGTAGGTTGGGAACAGCGGCCATGTGTCTGGTGCTGTGCCAAGTGTCAAAGAGAAGCAGCTAGAAAAGGCACGTCCGCCCCGGCTCCCTGTTGTGGAGGGCTCGGAGACGTGACAGTGTCAGATGCGGTGGTGGAGGGAGAAACCAGTCCCAACTTCCCAAAGGGCCTGCAGCAAGCGAAACAGCCTATTCTATTTTATGGGAATATATCCTCATAAAATAGGAAAATACAGCTGCGAAGATTTAACCATGAGAATATCCACGGATGCACTGTTTGTAACAGTACAAGTGTTGAATTCATAAGTGCCCCAGACACTTAAGAAAAATCGGGAGAGCCTTTGCCACTTCTGTGTGAACAACGGTGAAGCTGCGTGTCCCAGCAATCAAATGGTGAGGGAGCAGAAGTGTGCATGCCAACGTGGAAGGCTAGCTGTCGTGTATTTAGTAAAACAGCTCCGTGCAAACCAACAGGTGCACTACCATACTATGATGAGGATGCATATGCACAGACAGAGGTCCTTTCAGTTAGTCACCTCTGAAGGACAACTGAAGTGTTTGTAGCTTCCTCCTCTTGTGTGTTTGGACTCGGCGATGTTTCTGGAATAGATAACTCAGTGCTTTGTGAAAAGAAATGAAGGACAGCCAGTGGCCAGACAGGAGTTCAATACTCCACAAAGCCGCTTGACCGGTAAAGCGCAAGATCTGAACCCCTTTCTACAAGGGTTGACAACCTGGAATTTCAATCACGATGGATGCCAAAGGATGGGGAAAAAAACATGTTTACAACGGAAAGACTCCACAGAGAAAGGCAGTGAGCAGGGTGGCCGGCCTTCCCCCTTCTGTGCCTTCCAACTCAGCCAGCACCAGGGCAGAGCCTGACTTTCTGGAACACACAGTTTGTAACCCCGAGGACAGTCTGTACATTTTACATTGGAAACACTCTCTCTGCAAGGTTTTGTTGACATTCGTTAGGGGGAAGGATTTAGGACCTATGGCCTTGGAAAGAAATCCTACATATCTCACCCCTGGTATAGGAAAGAGAAAAGGCTTTCCAGTTAGGTGGACAAAGGTTTAAATGCTGGCTCCTTTTGTAAATTGTTTATCATCTCCTAGCTTCGGGATAATAATATCTTTCCTGCAGGGTATTAACTAGAGCAACGTATGTATAAAGCATAGATGTTCAATAAATGACAGGGTGTTTTTTTTCCCCCTAGTGGGAAGACTCAGGGAACAAAGCAACGAGGTCACATTGCCCAGAAGCTGTACCTTGGGGAAAATCAGCTCATTATGGAAGGGAGGGATGGAGGCCCAGGGTGGTCCTGCCACCCAGAGCTAACCCTGACCTTGGCTCGGCCTGGAAAAGGTGAGACAAGGAGACCATGTCTTTCTCGGTGACGTGGGAAAGTTAAATTAGACTGAACCTCCAGATATGAAACCAGCCCTGTGCTTTGCCCCCTCTGAGATCCTGACTGTGTATGAGTAGAATGTACCGGGTTTTTCTGGAAGGGAACAGGAAAGCGACTTAATCAGAGAATGAAGGTGGCAGCTGGGAGACCAGCCTCCAGAAGTGGCACACTGTGGTCCCCAGACAGATCACCCAGAGCAACTGGGACGGGGCCGAGGAGGGTCCGTATTTCGCCAGGACCCATTGATACTCTGCTACTTCTCAAGGACAGGCTAGGGAACCGCTCCTGCGGTGAAGGCACCAGGCATGGGCCTGGCAAGGGCTCAGTCCAGATTCCAGCTGGGCACCAACTCTCACGTCCAACTTTAAAATTGTCTGGTGAAAACATGACCCGGGCCCAGGGCAAGGCAGGCTGCAAACATACATGCACAGGGAAATAGCCTCGGAAGCGATGTACTCGGGGTGCCCGGGTGGCTCAGTCGGTTAAGTGTCTGACTCTTGATTTCGGCTCAGATCATGATCTTAGAGTCAGGGGATCAAGCCCCGCATCAGGCTCTGTGCTCAGTGCGGAGTCTGCTTCTCCCTCTCCCTCTGCTCCTCCCCCTGTGCTCTCTCGCTCTTTCTCGTTCTCAAATATATAAATAAATAAAATTAAAAAACAAAAAGTAATGTACTAAATTTCATACACACACAGATGCGTGCATTCACGTGTACGTGTATACACACAAATAGAGACACTTAGGTGTGCGTTCACACATGCACCTGCATACATACACGTAGGCATACCCTCACACCAGCTCTACTTTAGTACTAATATTGTCCCCATTTTCCTGAAGAGGACCCTGAGACAAGGAACCAGTAAGCAACTCGCCTAAGGTCACACAGCTGCTCTGCGGCAGAGACGGGGTTAGAAACAAGATGGGCCGGCTCCAGAGTCCCTGCCGGGGCTCACTAGATGGTAACAGATAGCCCACGAGGTGAAACGGTCGAAGCCGAGAGTCATCACCTCTGCGAGCCACTTGTGCCCTGGGGTTGGCTGTGTCCAGGGAGGATGGCCAAGAATTCCTCCCATTTCTGTTCACGCGTGTTGTTCCCCCCACCCCGACCCCGCGCGGGGGTCCCTTTCTCCTGCCCCCGAATCGGGGCCGACCTGTGACCCCCTGAGAAGGAGAATGGGAAGGGAGTGAGGTCGTGGGAGCTCTGCGCCTTGCCCTCAGGAGGCTGGGCAGCCTTCACACGAGGCACCGCGGGGATCCAGCCGCCACGGTGTGAAGAAGATCGGGCTGGGCTACGATGACAAGATCTCAGAGAAAAGGAGAGGCCCCAGCTGCTGCTCCAGTCATCCCAGCTGAGGCCCAGCTGTGTGCGGGAAGCCTCACAGAGCTCCCCTGGGGAACGCAGCCACACGGACTCCAAGCGGAGCCCAAGATCCACCAGGCAGGGCTCAGCCACCCTACGCAAATGAGAAGGATAAGCGGTCCTGGTTTTGAGCCACTAAGCTGCGGGGTGGTTTGCCGTACAGACAACTGGTTCACGCACCTATGGGGCTTGCAGACACGTATAAATTTGACAATAAGCAATTATTTGTTGAGCATGGTGCCAGGCAGCCTAGGAAGTGCTATACATTTATTGTCCTGTTTAGTCTGTATCTTTGCTTGCTGGCGTAGCGCATATTAATATTGTTTCCATCTTACCCGCAAAGAAACTGAAGCCCAGTGAAGTAAACAAATAAGCTTCCCCAGGAGGTGGCAGTTCTTGGATTTGGACTGAAATCTGTCTCGTCCTAACTGCAGGTACTAGTCAGATTTCTGCAGAGAAAAGAACCCACAGCACGCGTGTGTACATGTACTTAGAGGTAGACACCACGGCCTAGCCGAGCTAAAACATGAAAGTAACCCTCACACCGTATTTCCCCTACTCTGTGCCTCTTCGCCCTGCAAACCTGGACCACACATTCCTGGCCCACAGTCATGCTTTACTGTCACGGAGCACAAAATTAGTGACATAAAGGAGACCTGCAGTCAGAGTCTGTCACATGGAACGGCGGGATGCCTCAAGGATGCAGCAAGAGGCTACCGGCCATGTTGAAGCCGCCGAGGAATTAAAGAAGAAGGGCAACGGGCAGGCCTGAAATAGATCGCAGGTACTTCCATCACCAGGTGACAGAAACAAAGATGGCAGCATGGAATGCCTACTGGAAAAGGAGGGAAGGACCTGAGGTTGGTTCTAGGACCTGGCTTTACTCCCAAACAGCTGCGTGACCGTGGATCATACGTCACCTCTCTGGGCCCCATGTCCCCAAGCAAGCTTGGTGATGTCCAAAGTATGGTCCAGTTCTTTCCAGGACTCTCTGTGGCTTCAGATCCCAAACAGGTCATTGCATAACATCTACTTTTGACGGGGGGAAGCCCAGTGAATGCCACTTTGCCACCACAAAGACACTGTGGGACAGAGCACATCATCTCCTTTCTGGTGGCCATACCGTAAGTCACTGATGGAACCTCCAAAACCCAGGAACCCCCAGACCTGGGCTTCTCTCCCCATTGGTTAGTCCCACACTGTACCCACTCTGTTCTCACACACTGAATTCTAACTCCCCTTTTGTAGGAACTCACACGCAGCCGACACCTCCAACGTGTCCCACAGCCACTCAGCAGCTCCTCCATTAATGGAGAAGTCTGGTGAGAGGTTATCGCTGTCATTGGGGGTCTGTTTCCTTGTCCCCACCAAAGCCAGCTACTTCCTTCAAGTTGGTATCAGGCAGGCCAGGAAGTTTCTTTTTCCCTGCAATCCATCATATGTGGGAAGATCAGAAGGACGTGCCAAGTGCAAGGATGGAACCAGGTGGGCACGCCTGGTCACTTAGCCAGGCCCGAGCTGGGGGGCGAGGCTGACGGGCAGTGAGGACAGCAGGAGACTTGCTGTGATAATTAATCAGAAGCCTTAGCATCATCCTGAAGAACCGCTGGGTTGCTCCAAAGCCAGTTAGGAAACTGACCTCACCCCCCTTCCTGTCTCATAAACCCCGTCTCCAGTCCATCTAGGACCAAGGGATGGAGTATTTCTCCAGGTCCAGCACAACAAAGCCTGTCTGAGGAGCCCGTGTGGACGTCAGATGGGACCACCTCTCATCTCATCTCATGAATGGGAACGCTAAGGCCAACAATTGAACCAGTGGATATGAAATACTTGGTGTACGCAAAGCCCCGTTCTAAATGCCTGACGTGCAGTGGTTTGCAGAGTAACCAGCACCTGTGGAGGCCCACGCCCTAATCCCTGAAGCCTATGACAACTTAGGTGGCATGGCAAAGGCAAATTCAAGTGGCAGATGAGAAGAAAGTGAATATGTACAAATGTTAAAATAGAAAGATTATCCTGGTTTATTCCTGTGGGCCCAATATAATCAGAAGCATCCAAAAATGGGAGAGGGAGGCAGAAGGCAGAATCAGTCAGAGTTGGACGTGACTATGGAAGAAAGGCACAGACAGGTGTTAGGTTGCTGGCTCTGAGGACGGAGGAAGGGGCCACTAGCCAGGGAATGAATGCAGGGACTTCTAGAAGCTGGGAGCAGCAAGAAAACACTTCTCCCCTGGAGCCGTGAGGAGGAGGCAGCCCTGTGTTCCTTGATTTTAACCCAGTGAGACCCATGTTGGACTTCTCACCTACGGAATTGTAAGATAATACACCGTGTTGCTTGAAGACACTGAGTTGGTGGTAATTTGTTACAGCAGCAAAGGAAACCGAATACGTGAACCAACTCACTCAGTTAATTAAAGTTCTTAAAATAATCCTATGAAGCGATATAACGGTACCACTATGGCAGCAGGAATGCCGTGTAACAAAACACCCCAACTCCGGGCAAACGACAACAAGCACTCACCTCTCACTCACTTGTCTGCTAGCAGCTAGGGGCCAGCTGGTACCGGGAAGGCATGTCCAAGCTCAGCTCCACACGAGGTGTGAATTCGGAATCTGCTCCGTGTCTCTTCTCCTCTGCAGACTGGAGGCTGTTCAGGGCATGTTGTCACCACAAAAGGTAGGCAAGCAAAGCAGCCCAATCTCGTCCAATTTGCGCCTTCCACTCCCGTCATGCTGTTAACACCCCATGGACCAAAACAAGTCGCATGGCCGAGATGGACGTCACCGCGGGGAGGAGTGCACCTGCTCACCTGGAGGCCACGGTCACAGTGTGCACGTGTTAATTTGATGATGGAGGTGGGAAGAACTGGGACTGATAGTTCCGTCTACCACAGAAAGACCCTACTGTCAGCATTCCAGTTTGGAAAGGAGGAAACCAAGGCACAGAGTCTCATCCAGCATCCCACTGCTAGTCAATAATGGAGCCAGGATCAAAATCTGATCTGGCTTCCGAACATGGGTCAGGGACCTACACCTACTAAGTGGGGGAGCTAGGACACCATGGGTCCAAATGTCACAGTCCCTGGGGCAGGAAGGGGTGCCCTCCGGGGCAGTGTAGGGGGGGGGGCCTGCAGTGATCTCCAGAAGGAAGAGGGAGACTCTGCGAGAGGCCGCCCATCAAAAGTGCAGCCAGGCTGAGCTGTTGCTCTCATCAGCAAGGCGCTGCTGTCAGGTCCAGGCCTGGGGCCAAAGCACCTTCCAGGGATGAGATGCACAGGGAGACCAGCATCCAGGATGAGCCAGCTGTCCATGGCTGTCACAGGACCAAATGTCCTTCTCCTCCTGCCTTGGCGGGGCTGGATCGGCTGCTCGGCAAACCAGTTTGCAAGAAGCCGGCATGTGGGTTCCTTTGAAAGCTGTGTATCTAAAGGCCAGAACGGGGTAAAGGGGCGGTGAGAGATGCCGACATAATGTGGGAGGAGGGGAAGCAGGGAGTGAGCGGGACTATTCATTGAGTCCGGAGAGAGGATGCAGGAAGGAGGGGGAGATCAGGAGAGAGGAAAAGAGCAAAGCGATGCTCAGAATTCAACATTACAGAGAAATTTTATTTGAAGGCACCAGTTCAAAGGATCAGAAAGTCACACCAATGTTTCTGGGCATCTGGGGTCACAGGGTAAAGGTGGCAGCTCGTCACCATCATGTCCCGAGACTCAGGATGCTCTTGGGGGCGCTTCAACCTTGTGGCATGGGGGGGGGGGGGGGGGGGCGTCTCCAGAAGCCCACCACACCTGGCCCTGCAACTGAAGTCAGCGAACACTCCACTTTACGGAAAGGGCATACTAAGGATGAGAGGAGGCGTGGGGACCACCCTCTGTGTCCTACAGGAACTGTGTCTGTCCCTCATCCTTGTCACCCAGCCAGGGCTATTCCCCCAGCTACTTCCACCTGAAAGGGGGTGTGAGGCACTCTCCCCAGAGAGGAGAAGCCCCCTAGGAAGGCAAGGGCAGTGGACACTTTGTGGGTACACGCTATGAGCCCTCGCTAACCTCCCGGATTCTCCTGCACCGACATGCAAGGCAAACAGCCCTGCTCCTGCCGGAGCTAAAAACATCCTGGCTCAGTGAAGTGAAGGGCTTTCCACAGTCACCGGTTAGTGAATACAGAGGGACCCTGACTGCAGTCCAGGTTTTCTGGGCTCATTTCAGGTCCCCTCCTCCTGACCGTGCCACAAGCCCTGGACCCAGTACAGAAGCTGCAGCGAGGACCTCCCTGAGAGAGGGGACAGTGGCCCTTTGATTCATGCACCACCCATTCACGGAGCATCCCCTCTGGGGAAGCGCTAGTAGTAGGCTCTGCCAGAGGGGTTAAGAGCATGGACCCTGGTGTGGGCCATGGTGTGGTTTGAAGTTCTGGCTTTAACATCTAGTGGATGGGGCAGCTGGGCCACATTACTTAACCTCTCTTGTGCCTTGGTTTATTCGTCTGTGAAACGAAGGCAATGGCAGCACCTATGTCCCAATAGGGTCTCAGGAGGATTAAGTGGTTGGGTAAACTCCACACTTGGAACCGTGCCTGGCACATGGTCAGTGTGATCAAAGCACTAGCTTTCATTGTTCTTACTGTGGTAGCTGAAATGGACCTCCTCTTTGCCCTTACAGGAGTGCAGTCTCATGAAGGAAAACAGACGTGAAATAAACACAAATAAATGTGCCAGGATAGACCCGGCTAGGAAGGAAAAGCAAAGAACAGTGGGAGGACACTACAGGAGTGAAGGGTGAGAAAGCACGCACCATGCAAAAATGGAGAGAACGAGCACTCCAAGCAGAGACACAGCATGTGCAAAGGCCCTGAGGTGGGCAGGAATGGGGTGTATCACTCAGTGGAGGTCAGTGTAGCTGAAGAAGAGTGAGTGAGGAGAGATATCCATGCCAATTCATGCAAAGCCCAGTGGGAAATTTGGGGTTTTATCCCAAGAACAGAAATGGGAAATCCTTGGTATGTTTGGTAGGGCAGACAGAATTTGATTCACATTTTGTAAAGATCGTGCTGGCTGCCGAGTGGAGATGGGACTGCAGGGGGCAAGGATGGATCCAGGGAATCGAATTTGGAAGCTCTTGCCATGAGCTATGGGGGAGATAAGGATAATTTGGGAAGGAGGGCTGGTGGTGGATGGAAAATAAACTCAACTGAAACCCCAGATGCTGGAGGCTCACGAGGAGAGAAACCGCAAGTCAGCCCGGACTGTCAGCTGGCTGGCTCCCTCCCCCTGCCCTGGCCAGGGACAAGCTGTCATGAGTACTCAAGGCACCATCATGATCAGCCAGATTGGATCGTTCTAGAACACCCTTCTTAGAGGAGTTCACTTAACAAGGCCTGTGCCAGGTCCATGATGAAAGGTGCTGCTGACCTCGGAGCTGACCCCCTCCGTGGGAAGGGAGGCCATGGTGGGGAGCATCTGCAGATTGGATATGCTCCATCCTGACGAGGCCACTCGTGGCATCTCGAGAGGGGACGCCGTGCTCTGATGTGAGGGGAAAGGGGCATCCACCTGAAGGGGGGCATCCTCTCCTTGGGCATGGAACTCCTCCCACACCCCCCAACCCACACCCTGTTCTGAGCTGCCCATGGGGAGGGACCATGTCCCACCAGGTCTGCAGTCCGTGCCTGGCACAGACTCTCGATAGGGCAACCTTCTCACTGGAGGACAGGCTCCGTAAGGAGAGTCCCTGTTTTACGCCTCCTTCCAACTCCAGTGCCCAGCACAGACCGACTACAAGACGTGCAGTCAGTCAAATGTAGTACGAAAGAACAAATGACTCTCCTCCATTCCCTTGGAGTCAACTACTCAGTCACCGAATCAAGGGCCAAGCTGAGAACCACGACGTACTGTAGCCGATGCCCTAGAGGAGCAGGCTGGGAAGTCAGACACAGGCAGAAAGAGACAAGGTCTATTCCGACTGTCCCGACAGGAGACACTCAGACGGAGTCTTTCCAACGGAGGAAGTTGACTTCCAGGCAGAAGAGCCCAGAGGGAAAGCAAACGATGGAATGGAATTTGAGCAGAGGCAGGGTTTGGGTAATCTGAGAGGCAGCCAGTTAGAGAGAGGGGACCCCCCCCTCACTCACTGAACACCTGTCACTGGGCAAGCCCCAGAGAGACTCTTCCCCGAAGAACCCTGGAGCCGGAGCTCACAGCCCACGTCACAGTTGAGGACACTGAAGTGCAGCCTGGCTTAGTGACTTGCCCACCATCATAGAGCCAGGAGTGGGTAGAGCTGGGGACGAGCCCAGCCCTGTCTGTGGTCCCCTCAGGAGGAAGCATGACAGGATCAGGTACAAAAGTCAAAGAAAGATAGTGGTTGGTTCAAAAGACAGAGATGAAGCCCGCATGAGAGGCGTCTGTCATGAGGTGAAGAGCATGGAATCACAGGGTGGCGTGACACTGAGGTGGGCTTTAAGAGATGCTAGGAGGTCTGACCATCTTTGATCGGAGGGACAAGGGCAGAGCTGTGCTTTCGGAATCTGGACCTGGCCATCAGGAGGTGAGGAGAGAGACTGGAACCTCAGCAGGCCCCCCCGGAGGGTGGAACTGGAGAGGCGGGGGAGAGACGGAAGGAAGCAGGACTTGGGGCCAACAGGAAGGAAGCGAAGCAGGGGCAGGACTGCTGGCTGGAAAGGGTCCAGGGAGAGGGAGAAACCACTTCTCCTTCCCTTTCTGATGATGGCAAGATTACGACTGCAGAGCAGGGCTGCAGAGGGCAGGACTTCCCAAAAATCGGGAGGGGAAGAGTTATGCACATGTGTCCGAAACAGAGGCTGTAGTCCCCAAATCATGTGGTCACCTCTGACCTCTTCTACCCACCCTGGAGCTCCTATCTGCAGTGAGCTCTGAACTCGGGCCCTCGGGGACCCCGCAGTGCCCCTTCCTCCAGATATCAGGGCAAAAGAGAGGCACAGAAATCACGGAGATCCAAAGGTAAGCGGCCAGAGGCAGCAAGAAAGGCAGTGTCTCCCCATGCTATGGGTAGAAACCCAGGCACAAGAGGCAAGTATCACACGGTGAGTACTCGCCAGAATCAGGGATCAGACGCAAGGCCTTTGGTGTAGACCTGGCCTGTATCCATCTGGGACCCAGCAGGAGGCGGCGAACGAATACCCTGACCTTCCTCCCTTCCTGCCCACCCGCCCCACCTCCCCAACAGAAGCCAGAGGGCCCAGGAGCCCCGTGCGGCATCCATCCTATGGCGCCCACACAGGACAGCCTCCCCGTCACAGGACAGGGGTTGCGGGGGGCGGGGGGGAATCTGGAGGTGGACAGGGAGATCACCCAGCACCTCGCCACTCCCACAGCCAAGACTGTGGTGGGTACTTGGGCCTGAGCTGCCCCCCCTCTGCAGAACCATGGGGCAGAGGCCCCAGGCCTGCGCTCTGCAGCAGGAGGCCACCTGGCTCTCCGTCAAGGGTAAGGCCCCACACGTGCCAGCACTCTGCCTCCACCCCCAACTGACCCAGCAACTTCACATCCCCTTCTTCCTTCCGCATTCACACCCCCTGCCCTGCCCCCTCTCGATCACATGCAAAAATCTCCCAAGGGCCTGCTTCCAACGCAGCCGGGGAAGGCTGGGCGCGGCTGGTTGTCTCGTGGAAGAGATGGGGGCCAGCCGATGCCCACCCCACGCCCTGGCCCGCCCCCAGCCTGCCTGCCAGCCCCGCACACTGAGGCCTAGCTGCCGGTAAAAAGAAAGGGCTCCTATCTCTGATTCCTCAGGGCCTCTGATAAGAAATGTCATCCCTTGCTGGGTAATATTACCCGCCCGATAAGAATCTCTATCAAGCTCAAACATATGGCTGGCTACAGAACACAGAGCCCAGCAGAGCAGGATAATTTATTTGCTTAAGCTGAAAGCCCTGGGCGGCCGAGAGAAGTACACCGAATAAAAGAGGAAGGAGCCAAATTATAACCTCTCTGACTTGCATGGGGATTTTCAAGGGGAAGGCTGGGGCACCTGAGGACGATAGGGGGCCCTCCTCGCTCTCCTCCCTACAGGATAAACACTTTCCCCTGGTCTTCCCTCAAAGGGCACTTTCACTTACGCTAGCTATCACAGCTAATCCTCAAGACAACCTCAAGAGAAGCATTTTCAGCCTCCTTTTAACAGATCAGGAAATTGAGATTCAGCAAGGCTAAGTAACCTGACCAAGGTCACACAGGGAGCCAAGCAAGAGCTCAGGCTAGGACCCCATCAGGCCTGACTCACCAGCGTGCAGCTGCTGGGTCACCTGGCTCCTGGGACTAAATTAATCAGCGGGGTCCGATGTGCCCAACTTAACCAACAGGGTCAGCTACTCAACACCGTCTCAAAGGTCCACGGCAAGCCTCTCCCCATCGCCGGGTCTCTACAACCTGGAATGAGGAGGAAGCCTGGCAGGGCACAGAAATTCAAGGGAGAGAGTGGGGGGCGGGAGGGGGGTCCCGGTCAGGGGACAGGCAGGAGCGACAGACGTGCCAAGTGTGGGCGCAGTAAGGACAGGCGGCTCATTGGGGAGAGCACTCTACACTCTTCCATGCCCCCCTTGCTTTCAGCAACACTGTTAAGGCTGATGGTGCTTTTTGAAAGTTAGTATCACTTTAAGATGGTTCCGCGTTACTTCATAAAGCCACTCATTCTTTTTTTCTTTTTTTTAAGATTTTATTTATTTATTTGACAGAGAGACACAGTGAGAGAGGGAACACAAGCAGGGGGAGTGGGAGAGGGAGAAGCAGGCTTCCCGCCGAGCAGGGAGCCCGATGCGGGGCTCGATCCCAGGACCCTGGGACCGAAACCTGAGCCGAAGGCAGACGCTTAACGACTGAGCCCCCCAGGTGCCCCAAGCCACTCATTCTTTTTAACAGCTGCATAGTATATCATTTCAGGACACATCATGACTTAATCAACCAATCCCGAACTGAGGGGCTTTAAAGACTGTGTCTCATAAAGACACACGGACAGGTGAAGGCCAGAGCTTGCACAGGATACTACAATGGTAGATACCCGTCGCACACTGGTCACAGAAGGTACAACACCAGGAATGGATCCTAAGGTAAACTATGGACTCTGGATGATAACGACGTCAGTGTAGATTTGTCAACTGTAACAAGCATCCCACTCCGGTGTGGGATGCTGATGATAGGTACATGGGGACAGTGGATATGAGAGCTCTCTGCCTCTTCTACCCAATTTTTCTGAGACCCTACAACTGCTCCAAAAAATAAAGTCTGTTTAACAATAATAAAAACCAATCGATCACACAAGTGTGAGTCATAACTGGCTCAATTCTATTCTGTTGACTATTGACTTCCTTTTCCCCCGAGTTTGGGTCATACTCTCCTGCTTCTTTACGTATCCAGTAATCTGATCAAAAACGAGGCATCGGATGTCAATAAAATAAATAAATCGTCTTATCATTTGCCATTTCTGAGGGCGCTATTCACACCATCTGCACACGTGTATGTGCTTCTCAAGGAAAAATTCCTAGAATTCACCCAGTGCCTTATAAACTCGGTTTTTCCTATCTTTCTCAGGCAGCAAAGTCTCAGTACTGCGCCTTGACAAGCTGGTGGCTCCCTGCATACCCACTCTCCTCAGGCCTTGGTGGGACTCTGCTAAAAGGACCTTACTACTCTGCATGAGCAACTCCTGCCATTTCCACAAAAGCACATGAAGAAATAAACACACTTCACTTCTGGTCGCCAAAAACCTACTCTTCCTGCCCCTTCCTCCTCTGGACCCTGGTGACTTCATTCTGCAATCAAAGTGAACACTAAGCAAGACACCAACCTCTCTTCATTCAGGCCATTCCTAGAGCTGGTCAGCATTCTTCTTTTCCTTCTGGGCCCTGAGATGTTCAAAAATGCAGATAGCCCAAGGCTGGAGAGAGGCAAATCTCCACAGGAGCTCAGGACTCTGCTAAAATCACAGCCTGACAACCTAGGAAAACACAGTAAATATCAATTATGCAATTTGGAGCCCAAGGCACCTTGAAGAAAAGCATCCATTACAAACAGAAAACCCTCTGATAATCAGAAGATAAAGAACACTTACCTCCCTGGCTGAAATGAAGAAGAACCTAAGGTAAAGGAGGTCATCCTACCTGGGAGAGGTTGGTATGCACTGAAGACCACAGTGGATGCTGAGGGGTGCACAAACATGAGTACAGCAGACCCCTCCCCGTCCTGAAGGATTCAAGACCCACCGGAGGGTCCTGAGAGAAAGGCTATGATCCATGTGGTCATAGAGGGAGGGACCAAGAGCTTTGGGAACAAAGAGGAAGGAGGCACTGAGTCTCGCACAAGTTAGAGAAGAGGATATTTGAGCTAGGTATTGAAGAGTAGGGGGTCACCAAGCAGAGAAAGGGGAGGAGACTTTCAGATGTCTTAACATCATGTGTGACGTGGAATGTGAAAGAGCGGCCAGTGGCCAGGTGGTAAAGGATAGGCCTCATGCTATGTTAAGAAGTTTCACTTTCCCCTACAGATGCAATGGGGAGTCATAGAGACTCTTGAGCAGTGGAGTGACAGATTACCTCTATGCCTCATCACCACCATGAAGAGACCCTCGGCCACAGGGGACCCAGTGTACACGGTTCCCAGGTCATCCTGCAAAGCAACAGACATAGTGGTTAAACCAGTAGCCTCCAGAGCCAGCAACCTGTCTTCAAATCCCAGCTCTGCCACCATCAGGTTGCGCAAGTGGCTTATCTAGTCCAGTCTTCCCATCTGTGAAATGGGGGTAACAGCAGCAGAGTCTTCTCTTAGTGCTAGTATGTGGATGGTAAAATGGATAAAGTTGATATATGTAAGGCGCTCACACCAGTGTCTGGCCCACGACAGGGGCACAACATGTGACAACTGGGGGGGGGGGGGCTGCTCCCATCTTCCCTTTTGCCCCGGTTTCCTCTTTCAGCACTGTCGTTTCTTCTGAGACATGAGCTGCCCTGAATCTGAGCAAAGGTGAGCAGGTTTCAGTCCAGGTTTGCTTTAGGAGGGCTGGAGCTCTTGTCTGAAATAGACTTTGAGGACTGCTGGCTTCTCATGAGCTTCCCAGCATCCCGGTAGCAGGTGCCATCTAAGACAGTGGCTCTCAACACTGTTGCGTCGAAGATTAATCTGGGGAGATGTTACAACCTCAATGCCCAGGCCCCACTCCGAAGACAGAATCTTTGGGTTGGGGCGGGGGGGCGGGGCGGAGGCAGGTATGGAGAATTCCTGCAGTGGGATTTTTAAATTCCTCAGGTGAGTCCAGCATTATACCCCATTTGAGAACAACTGATCTAAGGGCTGAACTGAACAAGGAAAGGAAACATGGCAATGTTCTGGAAAGTGCTGCCACCCCGAGTTGGGTAATCTGCAGAAGGCACCTGGCTCCCTAGGCTGCTGCTTCCTCACGCACAGGGCAATGCCTGGGCACCTTACCTCTTCCTGGGATGTCCCACTGAGCTTGCAAACATGACAGTGCCCTGGATCACTACGATTGTGACAGAGCTGTCAAAACTCTTGTGGAAATAAGCAAGGCCATGGAATACCAACACATACAACCATGTAGGGACATGCAATGGAAAAAGCCTTGGTTCGGTGCACAGAGCTGGTAACCAGTTAGGGTCTCTCGCTAACCAGAGATGTTACTAGCAACCCCATCCTTTTTGTCTTCAGCTTTGTCCACGGCAGACCAGGGATAAGAACTGCCTTGCCAATCAGACAAGGGGTCTGTGAGGCGCAAGCAGGAAGACACAGGTCACACTATGAAGGGTCAGGCTACTGTAAAGCATTTTTATTTCACATTTTCTGGGTGATCCCGGCAACATGGAAAGTTCCAGAGAGAGAGAAATGCCCCCTTCCACGACTGTTGTAATGGAGAGTAGGGAGGAGACAAAGAGCAGTGCCGGCCACAGGAAAGCTTTCTTCAGGGCAGGCTGGAATGGAACCTGTCAGGGTCCAAGTGGGGATCAGTGATAGGCCAGGAGAGCAGGGTGGGGCCGAGGGCGGCTCCAGGGAGACGTTAAGATAGGAAATGTTATCTGGGAACAATGGAACCACCATACCGTTGTCCTGGCCTGGATCTGACAAGCGGGGATAAGACTCCAGGAAACATGTCCCTCCACAATTGGCCAGAAGTGGCCCCAACAGACCACTGGCCCATGACTTTGGTTTTGCATCCATTCGTGCATGCACCCTGCAATGGGCATACATCCACCATGTACCAAGAACTGTGTTAGAAGGTGGGGATGTGGGGTGCCTGGGGTCGGGGGAGGTCAGTCGGTTAGGTATCTGCCTTCGGCTCAGGTCATGATCCCAGGGTCCCGGGATCGAGCCCCGCATCGGGCTCCCTGCTCAGTGAGGAGCCTGCTTCTCCCTCTCCCTCTGCCTGCAACTCTGCCTGCTTGTGCGCTCTCTCCGGCTCTCCCTCTCTCTCAAATTAAATTTAAAAAGAAGAAGAAGAAGGTAGGTATGCCAAGATGGGTAAGACCTGGTCTTCACCCTTAGGAAGGACAAAGGACAAAGACAAGGCAAACAAAGAAGTAACATTTAGGAACAACACTATGAACTCAAATAAAACAGCAAAACAGCCACCACTCACTGCTGGCCCCACTGTGCATCCGGCAGTGTGTTGGGTATTTCATATTTAACATCTCAAATCTTCAGTGTCCCCTCCGAGTAAGGTACCAGCTCCATTCTACAAATATGGAACCTGAGGCTCAGAGAGGCTGGTTACTGGACACGGGTCACACAGCAGTTAAGAGGCTGGGCTCAAATCCCGATCCAGAACACTTGGGCTCCGTCCCCCACAGCCCAGTTCGACAATGCAGAGAATCAAAAGGCAGTGATCTCTCTCTCTCTCTCTCTCTCTCCCCGCCCCCCCCATGCACCTCTTCCAGGCACAGTGTCCGCATTTGGGGAAAGTTTAAGCACCGTAAGAAGCAAACAAGAAACACGAATAGGCACAGCACGCAGCCTACGCTTATGGCTCAATAAATGCTTACGAATCAGAATCCAAATATAACAGCATTGGAGAAGCAGAGCAGAGGTGCGAGGTGTTTGGGACGTCGCAGACCCGGGCCTGAATCTCAGGCTCAGGATTTACACCTCCCTGAACTTCAGGGGCCTTGTCTTAAAAATGGGAACAGTACAACCTACCAGAGGCTGACTTGGACGAGGTCCACACAACGGGGACAATCTCCTGCCCTCAAGACCCCTGCACCCCGTCTCGGGCTTGGGGGACATAGAACAGCAGCTGTCCCGCACAACCAGGAGAGAAGCTGGGCAGTGTCAGAAGCTCCCGCTGAGTCTGGAAACGGGCCCCACGCGAGGTGCCCAACGCCTTCCACACAAGCCTGCTTCACCCGGACTCGGCAGCCCTCGAGGAAGGGGCACGTGCTCACTCCGGGTGCTGCATCTGCTCCAGGCCTGGGCCACCACCCCGCAGAAGCCTCTCAGGCGGACTTCTCTTGACAAGTTCACACTCCCTGGTGAACAGCACTCAGAAAAGCTGGGGTACAACCAAACAGAGGTGCTGGGGCAGGTACAGGGAACAGTTGCCCCAAGGGGCTGTGATTTAACCTTGCCTGAGTCCTCACTGTCCTGTAGGCACCAGTTAGTTTTGATTTTGTTTGTTTGTTTTACCAGCAGGGAGGCCATCCCGGTTTGAATTACAAAATAGAATATGGCTCCAGATTCAACAACTGCTAGTAGCTGGGTGGTCTTAAGCCAGTGACTTTACCTCTCTGGGTCTGAGTCTGGGCCTGGAGGTTATCTCAAAAAATAGACACCCATCTACTCATCTACTCAAGAGATATTTACTAGGTCCCTACCTGTGCTCCACGGAATACAACCAGGGGACAAAATCAACAGAAATCTCTGCATGTGTGGGGCTCCACAGGGATGGGGACGGCAGAGAGCCTACAAACACAAACAAGAGGGTCAGGCGGTGGTGAGTGCTCCAGAGATCCATCAAGAAAGAATAGGAATGGGAGATGGGGCGTGAGGTGGGCACTGTTTTGCAAGCACGGCCAGGAACGGCCTCTGTGACAAGGAGCCATTTGAGCCACGTGTACTCTGTGCAGGCCCGGTTCCAGGTGAGGACAGGTGTGTCCCATGGACTAGCTCACTCCACCCTCTCCAGCACCCCTAGAAGGAAGCCAGTGCCCCTCTCCCCACTTTACACAGGACAAAGCTGAGACAGAGAGGTACAGTGCCTCGCCCAAGGGGACGGAGGGGGATACTCTGAAGCCCAAGCTCCAAACGGCTGTACACTAATTCTTCCGTTCCCAGAGCTCCGTTTGTGGGCAGCCGACGCTCTGGAAATGATCACTGTGATCACTGTCAAGACACCGCAGAGAAAGGAGAAGGTATGGAGGATGAAGGGAAAGGCAAAGACACGACACCTGGCACAAAACGTACGTACCACCTCCACTTGGAAGAATAGGAATACTGATTGTACGTA